AAGGTTTCTCAACTAGTCCTGTTATAATACACTGGTATAGCATATTCAGGGAATTGAAACTTATCCCTTCATTAAATCAATTCATCATTTGTGGTCACAAGAATCAAATATTCGTAAATATTTTTGAGAGAGTGTTTTATACTTGGGACTAATTTGTTGTTTATCTGAGTGAGATATTCAAAATGGAATATATCCAAGCCATGTAGTAGAGTAGCTTGTGTCATTTTGACAAGGTCCTTTTATGGCACCGAGTCAGTCTGTCATTAGGTCATAAAGTGGCATTATTGAAATATAAAATTTTGCTTTTTTGCTTTACAGAAATTATCATTGAAATGTTTTAATCTTAACATGACACATGTTTGTAATTTAAATTCCTTGATATTAAACATGAAGTATTCATGAATAAATATTTGTATTTGTTACTATATATTCAGGAAACATATCATATTCGTCTCATCATGGTCGTAGGAACAATATTGGGTATACAGTTTGCCTGTGAGTAACAATGAAAATACTAACACCCTAATCGTAGAGCTGACTAAAGAGCTAGGTCTTAAGCTCAAAGTGGAGGACATCGACAGATCTCACAGAACAGGAGATCCAGCTAAGTACAGTCAGACCAGGCCTAGACCAATTCTAGTCAAATTCATGTGCAATAGAGTCAAACGTCAGGTGATGAGCAGCCAAGCCAAGCTGAAGAATTGAACCCGGAAGGTGTTTGTGAATGACGACCTGACTAAGCAGAGGGCCCGTCTAGCCACTGAAGCTCGCCAACTAGTCACTTGTAAGGGACTAGCAGGAACCTAGGCTCGAGACGGGGTGATCTTCATCAAGAAACTTGATGGTTCTGTGGCACTTATCGACAAGAGATCACAAATCACTAGACTCACCGAGTCACTCAGGCTAAAGATTTGTCTCAAACTCAGCCAGGGTCCAAGGGATACTATGGAGTATACTGACGCAGATGACAGTGAAAATGACTGGATGTCTATTTAAACTTTTCACAATCGTTTTCTTGTGAACACCTTGAGAGATAAATCCTTGAGTGTTTAATTATGCTTACATTGAATTGAAACATGTAATGTTGAGCCGAACTGACTATATTTTCAATTAACATACATATATGTGTTCATATGTGGATCGCATGTTTTTGAGATGGAGGAATTTCTATAACACTACGATCTGTTTAGGCTTCAGTTAGCACGGAAAGTCCACGCATCAGGTGCGCCATGTTATGTGACCACGATATCATTATATAATAGCAACAGTTATGACGCTTATGACAGTCATTTTCGCTTTTACTAGTTTTTGTGAGTGAGTGAGTAGTTTTACGCTGCACTTAGCATATTCCAGCTATATGGCAGCGGTCTGTAAATAATTGAGTCTGGACCAGCCAATCCAGTGATCAACGGCATGAGCATCGATCTACGCAATTGGGAACCGATGACATGAAGCCTTTTATTTTGACATTTTGACTAAAAACCATAACCAAGCTCATACTGGTTTTATTTCTTGACATTGTACTCTGTGTGTGTGTGTGCATGCGTGTGCCATAATGTATTATCCACTGTATGAAAAGTCCTTATTTCAACCCTGAGTATTTCACTGTACTGCACAACTATTGCTATTTTATATATATTTAATGGGATAAATATTTTAACAGTAACAGGGATATCTGACTGAGATTTGAATGTTAGATGGCCATAGATGTTGTAAGATGATTCGCCAAAACGCCCTGCTGTCCAACACATCATTTACCATGAAAAATCAGACTCATTAATAGCGAGTGAATCCACCTCTATTCTCAAGACAATCCCTTGATTGACCAGATTGATATCTGTCATCAACGTTGTTTATCTGTCGATATTGTGATTGTAATCAGCTAATTACTGACTGAGAAACGTTAAGAGCTCATGCCCTGTTGCTCTGTCTTGTTCAAACTTCCAACATGCCAGTTGCTTGTAACCGTTCCAAGGGTGAGAGATGCCCATGTAAAAAAATGTGTTTTTTTTAGTTCCAAATTATATTCACCAAGTTTCAGTCTTGTTTTTATCACAGAAATGTACAGCAACCTCTCACAAGTTCCACTGTCAGGTTCAAATTTTACTTCAACCATGTTCATGTGCACATCAATGAATAACGCTTGCACAAGATTGGTATGTTGTGAATGGAATAATTGTTTTCTAAATCCATAAACAAACAATACATCTGTGTTCCAAAATAATATCCCCCCAAAACGGAATATCCCATACTTTTTTAATAGTAGTATATATAATGTACATTTAGGCTGGTTACATAGAATAACTTGAAGTAAATATTTAGTCAGATACCAATTGTTTATACAGCTAAGACTTTTGACCTTCATGTACCACTAATTTCCTAATATTACTGCAATTCAGCAATGAATCTGAAAATTTGTGAATGTGATTTAATGTTAATATGACCACCACAACATTTGTAGGGAATCATTTATGGCTATAAATCAGCAATTTGTTTTCAAAATATAATAATTTGGCAATGGTGTATTTAGTATTGGGACCTAACACCTTGGTTCCAGTTTAGTATTTCATAATTTTGACTTTGATTCACCCCATAAAAAGTTCAAGAAAGTGCAAAACTGGAAAAAATATTGTAGACCCCACTACAACACTAGTCTTCCACCATTTTCAATAAAATTATCTACTTACACAGACTAACATCTAGTCTCTGAAATGAACATATTTTACAGAAAAAAACCCTGTTCATACCAAATAATCATAAAGTATAATGAAAAGGAGCCCAAAGACCTTTTTCATTTTCAAAAATCGATGCTGGCCACGTATTCCAGACTTGCATGGGCTTTCTTGAATGTATTTTTTTCAGGGTCTGTATGACAGACTACTACTTACGTTAAGGAACAATGGCAAAATGTAGGTTTGTGCATATTATTGCCGTTGAAACCAATCAGACACCAAGAAACTAAACCTAATTTTCAGTTTCAGAACTCCAGCTTAGTTGTACTTGGCATTGCAGTATAGCTGTAGAATGAACAATAGTCTACTGATACAATAACAGGCAAGGGGCTATGCTGGAGTTAGGGTCAGCTAGATTAATACCTAACTGATTACAGTGTTAGCAGTTGAGTTATTGTCCAGCAGATAATGTATTTGGATTAGACTGTGAACATAATAACAACACAATCAACCAACAGGTCTTGTTCCAACACATTCTCTTTAGGATCAGTGTAAACTCAGGTTAAGGTGTCATTTGTGTCAAGGAGGAAGTGTGCTTCAAATTAAGAGTTGGTGAGGTATGTAGCCTTGTTATCTCAGTAAGCATGTAAGGATTTATCTAATCTTATAAATGATGATGAAATATGTTGAATGTAGTGTTATGTTGTCAATCACTGTTTTGATAATTCAGGTGTCCATAGTCCTTCCACTGCGCCATAACATTACAAGTTCTTTAAATTCAACACTCATGTACAGTTAACCAGGAAATATATTTATGTGAAATGGTAGTGGATGGTATGCTTGTTGTCATGTTATTTAAGATGTTAGCATTACAACTTTGTCAAAACTGAGAAGCAGCAATAATTTTTCTGTGTGTGGGTCACAAAAAGTTAATGTCAACATGTATGTGATACACCCAGTATATGATAAATGTCCATGATCGCAGTGGGTGTATGAATTAGATAAAGAAATGGAAAAAAAATTGATCTCAAAATAAATATTCTTTATATTGATAATGATGTAAAATACAGATAAACAAGGCTAAAGAAGAATTGTTCCTAGATCGTGAGTTTTGTCATATTTTGGTGGGGGCATATTTTGTCATGTTTACCAGGAAATATCATTATGTAAAATGTTAATGAATGATATGTTTGTTATTCAAGATGTTAGCATTCCAACTTTGTCATAGATAATGATGTAAAATTAGAGGTACAGAGAAGCTGCGTATCTCTGTATATTACGCAAATGTTTATGTGAAAACTCAATTCCGAACTCAAGTCTATTGCGTACAAGTACACTTGAAGTTTTGGATAATCTCAATAAATGTGATCTTAGATCTGTACACACGAAAATGTCAAATCTTAGCTTGCGTACCGGTGGATAGATAAAATAACTGAGGTATACTGAGAGGTTCTATTTCAGGACATGAACTTGACAACTTGCAATCTTTGTTATGGTTTGTCATATTACAGATAAATATAAATAACAAACACTAACATTTAAACTTTATTATATTTTTAATATGAGTGGAAAATGGCAAAATACCCAATTAAGTTTGAGCGAGGTGGGTACAATTTATTTGGCTGCTCAAAGGCAAATTAGGATATCCAATTAAGATGAACACTGACTGACTGACTGACTTGAGTTTGGTTTTATGCCGCTTTTAGCAATATTCCAGCAACATCACAGCGGGGGACACCAGAAATGGGCTTCACACATTGTACCCATGTGGGGATTCGAACCCGGGTCTTTGGTGTGACGAGCCAATGTTTTAACCACTAGGCTACCCCACCGCCCCTGAGATGAACACAATTAGCGAGTACATAACTCAATGACTGACTGACTGACTGAGTTTGGTTTTACGCCGCTTTTAGCAATATTCCAGCAACATCACGGCGGGGGACACCAGAAATGGGCTTCACACATTGTACCCATGTGGGGATTCGAACCTGGGTCTTCGGCGTGATGAGCCAACACTTTAACCACTAGGCTACCCCACCGCCCCACATAACTGAATGACCCAAAAAGTTATCGGTAGCTCTGTAAAATATGTATAAACAATATAAAGAAAAATTGTTCTAAGGTTTTGTGTTTTTTTACATATTTTGTCATGTTTATAGTGATACGAACTCCCGATGAGCTCCTTCATCATGTTCAGGCCAAATGCAAAATATATACATCATACACACTCTTTTCAGTTGTTGAATATTGAATGAAATATGATGCATAAAACACTGAACAACTGTGACACAACAAGTAGGACCTTGATATTCTGCTTATCGATTTCAGATAGTATGAACAGGTGAAGTGAGACATTACTAGAGTCAGCCATGAGTGTGGAGAGACCCATCTCTGTCCACAACGCGGGGGACATGTGTGAGGGCTTTGAGTTCCAGAAGAAGGTCTCTGACCTCCAGGAACAGAGCCTTGGCCCACTGAAGGAGGACCTGGTGGACTGGCTGGGCAAGACACTATGTGAGTCAATTATACTAGTTGCAGACAAATATTGTCATGAACATACCATCATTTAATGCCATGATGCCAATCTAGGTAGATGCTCTCTCTGTGTTTCCGCTCCAGAGTGTCCAAAGGCATCTAGTCTCACAGCCCCTGAAGCACATTATATTCCCTTCCGCCCAGACCTTTCAGCAATGTGACAGTCCTAAATGAAATTTGTCTAATTTTTCTCAGCTTCTGAATGTCACAGGGGCTCATTTTCAATTTCATTGGAATTATTTGTTTCGATCAAATTATTTATATTCAGAAATTAAGTGTTAGTCTAAACGGCAGGCATCATTGTTGTTTTCTGCTGCTCACCACATCCCACATGACTGGTGACTGAGAAATATAGACATCTTGACAACAATGCTAGCTGTATCAAATTCTGTTAATTTGGCAAGTTTATTGTGTGTGATATTGACACATAACATATAAATGGGTCAAAATATGATGAATTGCCATATCTCACTATGTAGATAGATCTGTTTATTTAATTGGAGTGCTGTAACAAAGATCTGTGGGTATGCACTTCCAAATATAAATGTGTCCAGAAGAATATTTTTTTAACCATTTCAGTGAATGTCATGTCACCATGTTCACCATGAACATTATGAACATCATGAGATAAACAAGAAACAGTTGTATCCCTTTCTTTTTCATTTAGATTGAGAATTATGATCATATCTTTTCTATTTATTAATCTCCAATATGTTGTATCAAACATACTGTGCAAAAGAATCTTTAGCTGGTACGTATTTTCATATCCTAACTGTTTGTACAGTTTGGAAAAGTAGCTTTATCTTTGGCTTCTTAAAATAGTCATTGTGAAAAACATGATTTCAAGTAACATTAGGAATGTATTTTGACCATATCACTTTGGTTTTGAACCTGTCATTGACGCTTAAACTTGTGAACCATATACATATCAATTTAATGTCTCCAATAATCGTTTAATCAGTCTTGTCTGATGTTTCTGCATCTCTTTGAAGTCTGTTGTTATAGGTTTGTTTGTTTTCGATCTATTTTGTTATCATTTTTAAGCATATTTATATAATTGGTCATGAGACTCATATCACTTTGAAATGATTTATATAATGGAAATTATTTATGAACCTCATGATCACTGCATGGATGTTCAACCACAATGTGTTAAAGATTATTTTCTAAATCTGTTTTGCTGTGACATGAAACTTTTTCTTTGCAGCCATTGACTTGTCTGCAGACACCTTTATGACTGTTCTAGACAATGGGGTCTATTTGTGCCAGCTTGCAAAACTCATCGAGAGCAAAGCACGGGAGTGTTTTGCTGAAGGGAAGGTCACTGAGGTACTGAAAGAGCTTTACCATGTTTCATTTGTTAATGTTGTCAGTTTTGTGCATATTTACTTCTTCTAAATATGCTGTTTTCTGTTTGATTAGCACAATATGCTATGTGGAAGAAAGAAAGGTATAAATCATTCTAATCACCAAAATCATCTAGAAACTAACAAGGAACAAGAGCAATTATTTATGATATATATTCCTGTGAACAAACACTGTAAAAAGTTAATCATGTCTACAGAGCAAGATGTTAAGACATTAGCCGTTGTTAACATTCTATAAGTGGAAATAAATGTGAAGTAATAGATTCTTGAAAAAAAAAAATTAGTTTATGAGATAAATAGCAGTGTGAGCAGGGATGGAAATAACTTTAAAATTGCTAGTGTACTCCGGTACAGTGGCACATGTAAAATCACTTGCCCTGATAATTCTTCCACTATACCGGCCGATTTTCTTGTTTATTTTGTACTTAAACAACATAATTAACATTGGAAAGTCAACTGGACACCGGTACAGCATGATATACAAATTTGCTTGCCTGACAGAAAAAAAACACTGCACTGGGGCATTGGGCAATGGGTTTTGTCCACCCCTGGTGAGCCACATACCCTTGAGTCTAATAGTCAGAACATTTACAGCTGATATCATATGACTTAGGATAAGCTGATCTTACAATTCCAGGAGAAATTATACTAGACTGATATAATTCAGGCTGATCAAGGTTATATTTTATTTTTATTACTGAGTATTTATAGATTTTTAAACATGTTGTTATTCTTTTTATATCATTTTGTCAGAGTAACACTTGATATCAAGAAAAATCCTTAAAGCCAGGATATGTTTTTCAGATCAAAATACTGTAAAAACCTCTGAATACTAAGGGTGTCATTGTACAAAGTGATACTTTCTACACTATGGTGATCCCAACTCCCATACCTTTAACATAGACTTACGACTTACACTACTACAACTTACTTTCTACAAGGTCACCCAGCACTATGGTATTTAATATCTTAACCATGACAAGAAACGTTTATTCACTTTGATTCAACCATGTTAACCTTACGTATCTTTCTGTAAAAACGTTGATATGATAAAAATATTGAATTGATTATTTCTTATGCAGCCTCTTCCCAAGATGAAGTTGAAATGCAACAACAGGGCACAGTCTGGAACCTGGTTTGCCAGGGACAATACAGCAAACTTTCTTCAGTGGAGCAAGGAGTGGGGTATCAAAAATGAATGCCTGTTTGATACAGAAACACTTGGTGAGCACACTTGATATTGTTGTGTAGTGTGCAAGAAATAGTAATCATGTATATTTATCCATCTTCATGCTTTTTCATAGTTTGTTGGTGTATTTGTGATTCCAATGTGAGTTACTCTGAACTTCTGTTTGAATTTAGAAATTGCGGTTTAGCAATGTGGTTTAGGGTAGATGTGGCATTTGGAAGATGGCCAGTTGAGATTCCTAAGTCTGCCATGCTGACCCTGAAATATATATCCAATACATCTGAAGATTTAATAGAAGTCTGTCATATGTGGCAAGTGTAGATTTCTGAAAATACCGAAAATCTCTTGGCTCCTTTTGATAATATTTTATTGAAATAATCTGAGCACTGTTTTGTTCTGTAAAATATATTCATTTCAAAGAATAGATGTTAGTCTAGTCTGGGTGTATTGCAAACCATTATTGTCAGACCATTCCTTAGAAAACTCCTACCTTTCTTTGCACTGTTAATGCAACTGGCATTTATACAGGTTTTGGGAAGATTGGTCCATTTTGTGATTTTGTTATTTTTTTGTGTAAATTTGGTGAATATTAATCTCAAGATGAGTTAGTTTTAGTGTTGTTATACGTATATGTTTAGTAATCCCAACAACCTATAACAGTCCTTAATGTATAAATGTTCATATTCTTAAAAAACGTTATAAGCCCTTGCAAACCTTTTTGGATATTAATCGAACAGGGCCGCAAATGCTGCCGGAGTTTCTATATTTTCCTATATTCAGAATGTTGAACTCAAATTAATAGTGATTTGGAGTCTGTCTGTCTGCATCACTGTGATCTTATCACAGGCACATTTAAGCCAGAATGAAACGAAAGGCTTGAAAGGCTCTTCAGAATAGTAATCGCTGTACCTGCTATATATAGATATTGTGCTACAGTTGGGTGACACATTGGCCAGAGTATGGTGTAAGGGGAATAACTCCAGTGGAGAAGTGATGACATGACTTTGCTCGGCATGTTAAACCATCCTTTATGCTGCATAGGTTAGTGCATAGATTTGAGATTACTATAAATGTCTGATTGTCAACACTAATAGTTGAAATGTATGTGTGTATCAGTATGACTGTGGTTATGTGATACATACAGGATATTTCCACCAGTGTTAAAAAAGGTGTGAATGGCCATAATATAAAGATTCAAATATGCCAAGTTTTAAGGGTAGTTTCTAGTCATTTATTCAGAATTATTATTTACAAAATTCATAAAGTTTTATCAAAGATTTGCAGAATTAATCCAAGGCAAGAAATTCCTAAGCCATTCTAGGAAGACACACTGGTAGATAAAAAATAGATTCCTGCTCTTGGTTAATACAAATACTGAAAATGTAACAAGTGAAAAAGATATTATGAATGTCATGAGATTGATATCTTTGACTAACATGTGGCACTTCACATTCTTTTATTGCAGGCGTTGAATTACTGTCACTTAGAAACATACATCTTCAACATGATCAGAGCTCTATCGTTGCTTCTTTGTCTCAGTATCTCACAAGAAGGAGAAGCCAGTGATAGTGTGTCTCCTTGAACTGGCTCGTCTCGGCTACAAGTATGGCCTGGAGCCCCCCAGCATCATCAAGATGGAGAATGAGATCAAACATGAAGAAGAGGAGGATGAGGTTGATGCACCTCCACAGAAAACCATCGAGATTGTTGAAAAACGTCCAACCAAGCCTGCTGCACCTGAAAATAAGAAGCCAGTGAAACTAGATTTGGATACAGAGGTAGGTGTATCTTCAGGCACTAAATGATAGTTTTGGTATTACATGGATGCTACAAGGTGATATTTTGTGTGATAGCATACTTGTTAATTTGAAACTGCTGACACTCCAAATATGTGACACTGCTTCATTCAGTGGGAACTTTTGATTTCATTTTGTCTAAAACTAAAACAAATGAATTTCAATGAGTTTTTCCACACATGACATCAATCAAATAGATGTGTGCAGTATCATTCAGTGTGAATTTGAATTCATTTCTTGAGTATTTGTGAGCCATGTTTTGACAAGTGTAAATGTATAAGTTAAAAGTTTACTTGACTCATTGTCTATTGCACTAAAGAACAATTCTGTCTGTAACCAACAAAGCTTGCCTAGTGATTAAAGCGTTTGCTCGTCACACTGAAGATCTGGGTTCGATTTCCACATGGTTACAAGCCCATTTGTGGTGTCCCCAGCCATGATATTGATGGAATATTGCTAAAAGCGGCGTAAAACTAAACTCACTCACTCACTTATATTAGATCATATGTTAAGACATTTACCTACTGTTTGGTGTAGCAGACAGAATATTTTTGGTTGAAGACTGCCAGTTTACAGCATCTAGTATTTTTTGTTCAGGTTAGACGTATTGCAACAAAGTGTCGATGTCAACAGCATGTGAAGAGGATCAGAGAAGGGTTGTATAGTATTTTTGGGAAGACCATTTTCATCCGAGTGAGTATGGAAATATTTCCTTTTTCAAAGATTATTTGTCAACACAATCAACAAATAACGAGGATAAAGTTCTAACTTAAATTCCACTTCAGAAAAATCTCCAGTATAGTAGTAAGCATCAAGACTAAATGGGTAATGCTTGGCTGCTTGACTGCATTTCATTTACATAGACCTGTGAAATGTTGCTCATAATATTTACTATTTTAACTTACCTTACCATAGGTCTTATGCATATTACCTCAAGCTCGCTTTTAAAGAGATCAGACAGTCGTTGATTCGCCATTCTGTAGAACGCCACCTCGCGGTATCGACGAAAGTGTACAGGCAACGGAAGTGACGCGGATCTCCCTCGCCAGCAATGGCGGTCCATCCAAAATCACTTTTACTTCAAGCCGCCTTGCTGGTCAGACGCTTTTGGTTCGCTAAGTTTCAGACACTTACTAATAGATTTCAGATATTAAAGTTATTGGTATGTATGTTTTTCTATCTTATGTCTCTTCTCTGTGGGTGAAGAACATAATTTACAAGTAACTTCACTTACCTGGCTACCTCGCGGTTTATGTTTTTCACTCGGCTTGGGGTGTGTCCCCACGCTCCGAAGTTTTTTCCACGTGGCATGTTTTGGTGTCTTTGATACCTCTAGGGTTCTTCCACCTCTGTTTCATGCTTGCTCTTTGTGTACCTTCTTTTTCTTGCCTAATTTTGTGTGTTTTTCAACGCTTTTTCGGCTCAGTGTGGGGGCAGCCATCTTGGTTGTTTACACGACTGTCCCACTTACTTTAAGCGCCCATTCTTGTGGGAGGGGTGCTTCCATTTTTCGTCTGCAGGGTTGTTTCTAGGTTTTTACGTTTCACATTTGTGTGTTACAGCTTTTGGTGTGCATGACCCGGCAGTTTTGTTGCATCTGCAAGGTGCAGAAGTTCGCTAAGGACCCACACCCTGGTGCCCAGACTGCGCGACTGTTGCCTGTTCCATTGACGAAGCGCTGTCACTTTTGTACTCCGCTGTCCGTCGCAGATTTCAAGGCCTACCTCAGCTTAAGAAGAAACGCTTTGTCACAACGGAGGAGGAAAATGTCTTCCCCTGTTTCTTCTGTGGACTCCGGTCTTCTCCTCTAAAGACGCCGGTCGGACGCTCTTCTCCTGTGATAGATCAGCCGTCCACCCCTGCGCCTCGTTTGCTGACGCCTGAAGCCAAGCGCTTCGTCTGACGCCTTTGTTGACCTATCCCACCGGACGCTTTGTCGCGATCCCGAGGTTCAGAAGTTGCCGGACGCTCCTTTTGCCGGCAGCTGCCGGAATTAAGCTAGCACCGCTCCAGCGCTGCCGTTGCCTAGTCTTTGTCGTACCGGCGCCTGTGGCACTTTTGATTCTCCAGTTGCTGACTTGTTGCTTCAACTAATGTCGATGCTCTACGCCGGACGCCCATGCGGACGGCCGCCGGCGCCTATGCCACGCCGACGCCTGTACCGACGCCTTAGCGCCAACTCCGGACGCCTTTGGCAGACTACCATATCCCCAGGAAGGCTAGCAGTGTCTAGAGAGGAGAACTACAACGCCAGTTAATGGAAGCGTTGCCTCGACGCCAGGACGCCGAAATGCTCCCATCGCGGTTTCGACGATCTCGCTCCAGGTCTCCTCGGCAGCATCATCGGTCTAGGAGTCCTCGCCTTAGTTCGGATACTTCTCTTCGCCGTCGCCGGTCTGACTCAAGGTCACCGGCTCTCTCGTGACGCTCCAAGGATAGGGAGAGGCTTCCTGATCACCGACGGCGCGGTAGGCGATACCGCCGGTCCGTTCAAGGTCACCTCCTGTTCGCCTTCGGCCGCGACGCCCACGCTCCCGACAGTTACTTTGAGAGCTGCTTCTCAGTTGTCATCAGTCGCCACCGAAGCCTGCTGCTTCGGTCAGCGATTTACTGTTCCTACCGTGTCCTGGGAGGACACTGAGGAGCGCTATTTTTCTCTCCGATTATAATGAGGAAATGTTGCAAGAGGATGATGATGATGGGGCACCTACCTCCCCTCTCTCTGCTGTGTTCGACTGGATTGCCGACAGACTGCGGATTGTCCTTCTCCCTCTTCAGGTTCGGCTGACCCGGCTATTCGGTCTTCTCCGAGTTACTCCTCCCGCCTCACCCGATGGTGGCCGATGCTGTAGGCTTTGGACGCTGATTTTGCTACTTTGTCTCTCAATACCACGATAAAGGCTCCTAAGTCACGCGAAAGGAGACTACAAGATTCATAGTTTGATTTTGCGATGGAGGCGCGGCTCATGACGAGTCCCTCGCTTTTATCGGCTTCCCCACAGGCATCCTACCGAGTGCAGGACTCCAAGATGTTGGCCATTGATGCAGAACTCAAGCCGGATGTTGAAGCGGTATCAGCGCTAGCCTCGGCGACTTCGGCTGCTGCTTGGGATCTGACGGAAGACAACACGATCAAGGTTAGAACATCTTACCACCCTGTTTTCAATGGCAGGGCAAGGTGTTGCATGATTTGCTGGCGCGCACCCCTCGGGCGGCTCTGGCCATGACAACGGGTTGTTCGGGCGGATGGGTTTCCTGGAGCCCTGTTCTTGGCAGGAAGAGTTTAAAAGGAAACTGTTAAGAGCCCTTTTGCGTCTCGCTTCCTCTTTAATGACGGCATTCGGAGGTGTATAAGGAACACGCAGAGCTTACCAATACGGAGGTTTCTTTGTCTACGCTCAAGCTTTGAGTTCGGCCTTCGTGGCAGATCATCTGCAAGGGTAGAGGGAAGCCTGCCGTTCGCCCCGGTGAAGAGACTCACCGCTGACGCCTCTGGCAGAGGACGTGGCGTGGCAGATCCGAACCTGTTTTCAGCGCCGCCAGCAGGATCGTCCCGGGACCCCTTCGACGGCCGGCAGGGGTAGGGGCGCCTCTTTACTCGATTCGCTGAAGTTGCGACGTAATCTAACACGACTGGGACCTCCGCTTCCCCAGTCGTGCGGTTCGATCTACTCCAGTAGGCGGTAGACTGGGGATCTTCTGGCCCAATTGGACAATCCTGGAAGACCCGTTTATCACCAACATTCTCAGGACCGTTACAAGCTGCCAATCGCCGTGTCGTCGCCTCTGACTTCAACGCCCCAGTCACGTGTGTATGCTCCAGACCAACAGTTACTGCTAGCAGACAGCATCCACACTCTGTTACGCAAACAAGCTATAGAGACAGTGCTAGACCCCGACAGTCCCTCGGGTTCTACTCACCAATCTTCCTGGTTCCCAAGAAGGACTCAGGGAAACTACGCGATGATTCACAACATGGCAGTTTTCAACCACCTTTATCTTCGGAACCGCCACTTCCGCAGATGGTGTCCCTGGAACAGCTACGCAGCCAAGCTTGCGCCCAGGGTCTGGTTGGCCAGCCTCGACCTTCAGGATGCCTACCTGCATGTGCCCATTTACCCCGTCACAGAAAGTACCTGAGGTTCTTTTTCAACGGGTCCCACTACCAGTGGAAAGTGCTTCCATTTGGAATTTCCACGGCCCCGCGGCTTTTACTCGGATTACCTCAACGATCACCCGGTTCCTCCATCTCAGGGGCATCGACCGAATCCTTATATAGGCGACTGTCTCATGAACCACCTTTCGACCCTCAGTTGCTTCGCAAACAGATGCACTTTGCCATTCATCTCTTGCAGCAACTGGGATGGATTATCAACATAGACAAAACCCACCTGAGCCGCCCCAGGAACTGACGTTTATAGGAGGCCTCTTCCTGACACATTGCGACCTTGTCAGGATTCCGCTTAGATCGCTGGAGAAAGATTGTCAGTTCCTGCCAACCGAGGTCTATCCCACCGCTCAGCTCAGGGGAGTGGCAGTCCCTCTTAGGTCTCCTCACCTCAGCCCAGGACTTGACGCCAGAGGTCGCTTTGATGCTTCCGGCCGTTACAGCAGCTTCCTGTTGCCTTACATCCAGGCGGACGACCTTCAGTTGAGGTTCCTTTGCCCCTGCATCTCCACGCTTACCTCCGCTGGTGGACTGTCGAGTCAACGCCTGCGCAGGAGTCTCCTTTTGACAGAGTTTGTTCACGATCACTTAACTGTTCAGAGATGCGTCTCTTCAAGGTTGGGGTGCTCACCTCAACGACCAGACCACCTCGGGCTGTGGTCAGGCACCGAAGCTAGGATGGCACATCAACAACTTGGAGCTGCAAGCAGTCATTTTAGCGGTTCGGACACTGGGCCTCTGTTGCGGAACACCAGGCTCCTGATAGCGCCGGACAATTCCACGGTGGTGTGGTTGATTCACAATCAGGGAAAGCGACCAGGTCCAAACAGTTGTTGGAGCAGACGCTCCAGCTGGCCAGTCTCCTGGACGACAATGGCATCAGCGCCAGAGCCCGGCTACATCCCAGGGTGCAAGAACGCTTTGGCAGACGCCTCTCAAGGCCGGGCAAACCGTCTCCAACAGAGTGGATGCTACATCCAGAAGCGTTCAAACTTCTTTGTCACAGTCTCACGCCGCCCTCTGATCGACCTGTTTTGCGACTTCGCTTCAACACACAGCTGCCGTTATGACGTGTCTCCGATTCCAGATCCAGCGGCATGGAGCGGTCGACGCCATGTCCTTTGTCGGGAGGGTCTGGACGGTAACGCCTTTCCACCACCAGTTCTGTTGCCAGCGGTAATAGCAAAGGTCAAGCGGACAGAGACGATTCGGTCTGCTTTTGGTCGCCACTTTGGTGGCCAGCCAGAACCTGGTTCCCCAGATCTCGCGCCTCGCCAAAGAAGTCCGCAACAGTTACCAGACTGGCCTCACCTGCTCAGGCATCCCCCCACAGTCGACAGTGGCATCCCGATCCGACTCGGTTTCATCGCAAAGCGGTTGGATCATCTGCAAAAGGCGCTTGAAGGCCAAGGGCTTCTCCACGGTGTCGCCAAGGTTATTGCTTCGTGGCTCATCGAGTCTCCACAAGATCACTCTATGATGATAAGTGGGTTTCTTTTGAGAAGTTTTGTGCACAGAAGTCCAAGGACCCATTGAAGGCTTCTCCTCAGTTTATAGCAGAGTTCCTTCTCTTTCTTCGAAAGTCCCGCGTCTCAAGGGCAATACTATAGGAACTTATTTATCGGCTCTTAACTCCGTTCTGGCGGTCAAGTCGCGACAAAAAAGATTTCCAAGGTGCCAGAACTCATCGCCCGTCCTCAAAGCGTTTAAGCTGGAGGACCAGAAGGCAAAGCTCCTCATCCTCCCGGCTTGGGACCTAAACGTCGTTCTTCGTCATCTGAGAGAGTCCCCTTATGAGCCCTTGGACACGGCTTCTTTTGAGAACCTCTCCAGGAGAGACAGCTTTTCTCTTGGCCCTGGCACAGCAGCTAGGAGGTTAGTGAGATCCACGCATTGGATGTCACCAGGGTGCGCTTTTTGAGCAGTCACGGCATGGTCTTGTTCATCTCGGACTGCTTTGAGACTTCGTGGCCAAGAACCAGCTGCGGGACAACCGGATAGGATCTTCTCCATCCCTCCTTTGTCTTCCATTCTAGGACCTCCGACGCTGAGGAACAGCTGCTTTGTCCATCCCAGTGAGGGCACTTAAGATTTATATTGCCAAGTCATCTTCCAGGAGGCAGTCTCGTAGAGACTGTTCATCCCGTTGTCTTCTGTGGCCAAAGGTGAAGTTAATAAGAATACGCTTGGCATCTGGCTCCGTATCACCATCCTGACCGCCTACGATCGCGCAGATCTGCCTCATCCTACAGCCACTAATCCGCATGAGATTAGGGCTCTGGCATCCACCATGGCTCTCCACAGAAACTGCAACCGTTCCAGCCATCATGGAGGGTTGTTTTGGAAGTCCTCTACTGTCTTAAGCTAGTCATTACCTGCGGGATTTGGCCGTCGAGGGGACGTGGAAGGTCTTCAATCGTTTGGTCCACTGGTGGTTGCTCAGCAACTCACCCATCCTACCGCCCATTAGGTAACTACTTCTTCTTACCTTCTGGTCTTCAGGTTAACTTACACTCTGGGTGTATTTGTTTTCCTTAGGGTTGCCTTTAGTCACTATCTGTCTCCTGTTCCAGGCCTCCCGCGACAGTCTGGCGATTCAGTAGTTTCTTCTGGTTTTCCCTTGGCATGTGGGTTTTTCGTTGGGGACGGTCCTCTGTACTCTTTATGTAGAGGCCACTGTCACATAGTAGGAATCCAAATGAGTATGGTGTTCAACAAACAAAGAATAATGTACATTTGGGTCATGTCAGTGAACTTGTCATTTCTTAGCTCCTGATGGACAAACACCTAATGGTGAGAGTTGGAGGGGGCTGGGACACTCTAGAACACTATCTCATCCACCATGATCCATCGCAAGTGTTCACCTTCCACCGCTCCAACAGCAAGGACAACATCCTGGACAGCGTAGACGGGGACCGCTTCCTCTATGTCAGGGGCAAATACAAGAAGTGATGGAAGTGTGGTAGTAACATGCACTACCTCCCTCTCTTCAAAGTCAAAGTTTCTGGCCATGGATAACAACCTTTCAGGGCCCCATTCTGCAAGCCATGGTGGCGCTACAGATGTTATAGGTATATGAAAAATTATGGGAGTTACAATCATCCTAGCACTGTGATCACTTTGTGGAAAGCTCTTGTGTCATACTCTGCGATATCCATTCTTGCTGATGTGTATTGTCATTTAAACATTTAATAAAGTCTGGAAACTGATAATACAAAGTATTGCCTCGCCAAGTCCAAGTTTTGAGGATCTGTAACTTGTGTTATTGTCCATTTGAATCTATGACACTTTTTGCCTAATTGATACAATATCTGTTTTTAATGCCCATTGACCGTATGTGACATGCTCAGTATTAGGATCTTTGTGTGATGAAGTCAGGTCCAAGAAATTTGGAACAGTATTTTTGTACCCTTAAGAAAATACTCATGTTATTCCAGGGTATTGTTGCCATTGTGTTGGTCATGACATGTTATTGGGTTATAATCAAACAGTTCTTGTGTAATGCAACTGGACTTGGTAAGAAAACATGCTTTTACATGAATTGTTGTTTACCTTAACTGTTGCTAATGATAATGACAATGTTTAGAAAAATGTTTTATAGGAAGCTATAGTGAGTGAATATGCCCCAATATTATATATAATATAGGCCAAAATATTGTCAAAAATGTGTGAAATTGTGCCTTTCAAAATCAAAGATTAAAAAGTCCCTAGTCCTAAGTCCCTCCTATAGCAGGAATGCTCAAGGATCTCTTTCATCTCTAACACTGCTGCGAGTAGTTAGCAATTACTGATTAAATATACTTCTCAAACATCCGAAAAATCTATACTTATAATTATACTGTAAATCTGTTTGAGACATACTTCTGGGGCATGGTATTATAATCAGAATGTAAGCAGGTATCTGTTACCTGGGAACTATACTGTACCATGGCTTACATTGCTAGTCACTTGTATTACGTGTCTATTTATGAACTATTTAACATGTATGACATACTATTCATGTTGTTGCATGTGTAGATAATGTAGAGTATTTATGATGAATATAATCTAGACAATTTCTAAGTGTTTGTATTTATGGTCATTCTATTAAAGTTGTGTTCAAAGATGTTCAATTATTTGGCAATATACTGTGATATGAAGTGTGCAGATTCTTGTCAGTAACCCGGTATTAGTGTGAAAATATGATGAACACATTATTAATTACCAAACCAAATGGGATTGTATGTACTGTATTGAGATTTTAGGATTTTATTCAATCTTTCAGGGATAAGTAAAGATTTCTCATACAGTTTATCTAAATATTGTTTTTGTAATTTTTCAAAGTTTTCTAAGCCATGTATAAGGATTATTCTAATTGATAGGTATCATTTATATGTGTTGAAATATTTGTTCTCACAGTATTATATACTTCACAAACTATTTTATTGCCTCGTATAACTTACCTGTTACTTAAATACAGACATTACTAAGTAGAGATGTTTTGGAATGCCAATTTTAAATCCCTCCAATGTGAAAGATAAGTAGAAAAATGATGATGAACAATTTTTTATATGTAAATGCACAAGCATCACCACCAGTCTGTTTGCTTACTGAAAAGGGGACTTAGGAATTTTTTTAAGCATCTAGTCAGATCATATTTGTGGTTTCACCTTAATTGCCCAAGTAGATGAAAATGGTGGGAAACTTTGTTGTCAGTTGACTTCACTAGAGGATAGTCCGTCCCTAACTGCTGTTTGCCTCTGGCTTGGTATGCTGTAGACATGATTGTGAGTTATTATTGCCAGTTATGTCACACAAGTCCACTTCCTAAAATTCTCAAGGGGTGTTGGGGTAACATAGTGGTTAAAGCGTCACCTCGTCACGCTGAAGACCCGGGTTCGATTCCCTACATGGGTACAATGTGTGAAGCCCATTTCTGCTGGAATATTGCTAAAAGGGGCGTAAAACCTTACTCTCTGACTCACTCTAAAATTCTCAAACTCGTGTAATCTGAACAACACTACTAATCTGAAAACTTTCACTATCAATACATGTACATTGTTTTAACAGGATCAGGACAGTGGTTCTCTCCTTATGGGTGAGAAAAAGATACTTTTAGATATGCACTGTTAATAATGTGTCTGTAGTTATATCAGAATATGACATATATTCCTATTTGTTCGATGCATATTTGTAGAGTCTATATTACTATGCTATAAATTGTTACCCTGATATGTTACATGAAATCCATGCTTCCAGCCCGACAAATACCTCAGTGGGTACGAGTACAGTTTACAGTCGAGCACCGTTGTCTCGATATTCATGGGACCAAGAAAAAATATCGAGTTATCTGAACTTCGAGACATACGACCAGGGCATATCATCACATATCACTATGAAAGAAAACAAAACGCTTCTCGGTATGTTTGGATTTGAAACTATAATCCGTTATCAGTAGTGTTTTTTCGTAACAGTGAGTACATCCTGATTAATTCCTTCTTAATTAATCCTAATTAAATAACAAACAAGTGACACCTTCAACTCATTTAGCCCTAATTAGTTTACACTACCACATCCCTTTGATTCATGCTGCACCGTGTGTAAACGTGTGGAAACAACCTCCGTTCAGAGGGATACTTGCCCATGATAGGTAGGTGAATATCAAGTTTCTTTGCAAATATGTTAAAAGGGTAATTTTGCTTCTTGGGACCATCACATTATATCGAGACATCCGAAATATTGAGACATCCGTATCGAGTTAAAAGAGCTTGAATAATGATAAATTATGAAGGATTTTGCCGGGACCGAGATGTTACATCGAGACAACCGAGATATCGAGTTATCAGAGTTCGACACAACGATGCTCCACTGTATTTGTTATCCTACCTTGAGTGATATACAGACATATCCATAGAAGTGTGCTTTGCATACCTCATCACTTTGCTCAAAGTACATATTTACAGACTTTCTATGAAATGGTTAAAATATTTTTTCTCAACTGTTATGAAAGGTCTATATTGTCAAAATCCAAACCACATTCCACAAGAGGGACTTGGTTGTCATCCTTCAGGTTGTTCAAACAGTCAATTGGTGTTTTTGTTTTACAGATTTGAGTGAATGTGTGAGACAGTGTGTGAGTTCAAATTAAACTTTGCATCAACATTGTTTCAGCTGTAAAGCAGTGAGAAAGAGTTGCAAACTTAATGTGACCACAGCTTTATATAAAAGCATTATGTAAAACATAGTGTATAGCTATTATATATAAACACTTGATTATCATATAGAGGCTGCAAAGAGTAGGATGTTTGTACTTTCAAATGGACAGTATGTTGTTGTTTTAGGTTAACCTGTCCTGTCTGGATGACTTAGACTGGGCCTAATTCAGCGAAGTGGTCTTATCACAATGAGAATGACAAGTGTATGTTAAAGTATATGATTTAAGCTATTACAAAGCAGACACTCAGGTAGAAACATTTCTAAAATGCTCAATTTTCAAAAGTTTTAAGTAATACCTGGTACAGTGGAAACCTGATAAGTAAAATTTCAAGGGACTCGCCAAAATTGTTTACTTATCAGGTATTTTACTTATCCAAACTTATAAAAACCTGCAAATGACAACCATATGCATGTATATGTATGCATATGTAACAATGACCAACTTATCAGGGCTGGCAGTGTATTGTCAACTGCTTGACGCCAGCGAGCTGTAAGTAGGATGTTTGTTTGACTGGAGACTGACACGACTGCCCCTCATGTCGGATTATGTGGTGATCGCTAATTTAGTTATCCAGTCTCTTTTGTTAAGTAATTTACTTCCATGGACTGTGAGAAGACGTTTAGTTAAGCGGTATTGTTTACTTATCCGAGTTTATTTAACCGGACTCTAATAGTGATAATTAATGAAGAAAGTTGCCGGGACCAAAGAAAAGTGTTTACTTATCAGGTCTGTTTAGTTAAGCGGTCTTTACTTAGGCGGTTTCCACTGTATATATTATAAATGATTACCCATTCTTCTGTGGTACAAATTCTAGCACCTGTTAAGAGTTGAGTATGCATTGTTATTGCATGGACTCCCATGTATGAACTTGTACCTTGCTAAAAGTGTAATAGCAAGAAGAACATTTCTTAATTTTAACCACTTTCTAAGAGGTGGTTTCATAGATTTTCAGATATTTTTTTCTAAAGAGAAAGGGTTCTTGTTTATCATCCTCAGGTTTGAAGGTCAGTTCCAAGGTTTCTTCCACTTTTTATTGTTCTTGTTAATAGCAGTTTGTCTGATAACCCATCCAGATTGATGGCAAATGTAATGCATGTAATTGTCACATGCAAGTTCTCTTGAATGATGAGGGAGTTGTTTTTGTGTAATTGTATATATCAGTGATTACGCTGACTTGTGTTGTAATTTGATAAATGAGATGATTGATTTCTCTGGTTGTTGCTGTGGGTAAGCTAAAACATTCCTTTGTATGGTGTTTGTTGAGATGTGATGATTTACATGATTACAGAGTTTCCATATCATTCTACAACATTTAGTTTTTAGAAACACAGGGAGCACAATGCTAAGCACTAAGTGAGTCTAATATTTCTAAATCTGTAACTGCTTTTGAATAGGCGCAGTGGGGTACCCTAATGGTTAAAAAGACTGCTCGTCATGCTGAAGACTCTGATTTGATTCCACATATGGGTACAAAGATCGAAGCTCATTTCTGGTGTCTCCTGCTGTGATGTTGCTGGAATATTGCTAAAAGCTGCGTAACACCATACTCATTGACTGTTTTTGAAATGATCTGTGTAACTGGTGCAGCAAGTAGATGTAGCTGTTACTCTATGATTTTGTGTGTAAAACGGAATAAAATGTGGTACGTATGTAGTTAGTAGTAGGGCTACAAATATGTGTTCGATTTTTTGGTGATATGTGAAATTGTGACCCTGTTTCTACTATGCTATTTGCTTTGTAACCTTCTGAGGATGCTACACTCTGGCATGTTTCTTCTCAAGACTACATCATATTTTGTACAAGTTATTAAAAATTAGGTGTTGGTTTTTAATGCTATGTATTTACAATTTGAATGTTAGTGCTGAAAGCAATTTATGTAACATTTAACTGTTAATATACATATTCTGTGAGCTACAGTGCCTTTGTTTAGAAATCTACTTCATGATTGAAACATTATGAGTTATGTATCTCAGTAAACTTATACTATCACCTCCCACCTTTCACTAGAAGTACATAGTTGTTATACAAAGGGCAAAAAATGGGGGTTTTGTTTGCAAAAGTATAGAGAGTCTTGTTTAAATGTCAAATTAAGTAGTACTCAGATAAAAAGGTTTGAAATACTTAAGGTTTGACGTAGTTATGTTTTTAAATCTGTTAAATGTTATACAAGTGTTTTTCAAAATAATGACAACATAATGAAAATATATCCACATTATAGGTAATATGTAGGTTAAAGACAAACAAACTCTAAAAGGTTCTAATAATACCAGTATCACGATATTCAGTCATGTGGAAGGCATGATTGACCATGTTGTTTAATACAAACAGTGGTACATTATGTTCTTTGTTGTGTCACGAGCCTCTTATGGTTTTGAATCCATATTCTCATATTGATTGTTGCTTCATCAGCACTTTACTTGTAGTCATGGATTTCACATGTATTCCTTGGGCATTGACACTCTGTGATACAACTGAAATGTTCTTCAAAGGCATCACAATCAACTCCCAGCGTTGATGCTGTCAACAGCACTGTGAAGTATGGCATGTTATTGGAATTGTTATGTTAATATTCAGCTGTCCAGTATCAGTATTTATTTATCTATCCACCAAAGTGTTGTAACAGATATACACACTGTTACACAGGTTTATATGCTAGATAAATAGGAAATAGACATACTCTGTTTTGCATTGTAAGATGTTCAGATTTACCTGTGTTTTTGTTGTTATTTTCGTTGTATTATTCTTAGATATTTATTAGTTGTGATTTGTCTGTGATCTGCTTTTGTGATTTTATTGTTGAGTGTTATTGTGTCAGTTATTTGTACATGTTGTATAGAGCACATTTTAATGGCCAGTTGTAGAAATATGTTTTGTCTTCAGTGGTGGATAGAATGGAGAACATACACAGAGCCCAGTGATAAATGACCAAATCAAAATAGATTCTTATTGAAATACACACTCAATCCCTGCTGAAGATAAACAAAGCAGTAAAAAGTGGCAGTAAAAGTTTAAAAATTGGAACTAGATTGATGGTTCCAAAAAAATGTGACCCCTCTTCTGATGGTCAAATACAAAATGTGACTTGAAAGGTAGAAATTGAGAATGTGAAACACGGAAGTTTAAAATGGTGAATGTTACACACCACTGAAGGTAAAAAGTGAAGAATGTCAACACCAGTGAAGGTACACTTGAAGAATGTGAAATGCTGCTGATGGTAAAAAATGTTATCCTTGCCCATCAGATAGATGATGTGAAGCCTTGGCATTTGTGTATTTATGAATGCTTGTCCTGTTTGTATGTTGATTTATTAGATTACCATGATGTTGATATATTTTGCCAGCATTTTCATTCCACCAGGTGATTTTTATGATCTTTTCTTTGCATTACTTCCATCTTGTTGCTTTTTGGTTTTACAGGGACGTCATGACATTTTGTCTCAGCACATTGCATTATTTCTGAGCGCCTTTATTGTTGTCAGAAAATCAAACTTTAAGAATATTAAACAAAATAGTTTCCTGTAAACATGTAGTGATGCCTCACTGGAAATGTATTAAAAATACAGCGAAATCTGTGAACATGAGATGTTCATTTCAATCAGATACCTTTCCATGCTTAAATACAATCTCACATGATGTTGTGAATGATTAATACAGTTTGAATTTGTCCTTTATTTTATGAATTTCTATTTTTGATATTAAGATGATATGCAAGTGATCTTTGTTCTAACATGATTCAAATGAATGTTAAGAGATGTGTGATATCAATGAAAGCAATACATGTACATCTTGTTACGCCATTGTTTATGACATGAACCAATCAATGTTAGTTACTGATATGTAATGCTTAAATAAAGTTTTGTCTAACTTGATATTGACTTGAGTGCTGGTTGAAACAATTAATCTTGAAGGGCAGGGTTAGTAAACATGGTGAAAGGCCTCTGAAATATGGATTTGGTTTCAACAATCCCTGTGATTGGCAGGACTCACCTTCTAATTTAGAGAATGTTTAGCTCCTTGTGTAGTTCCAGGTAAGTGGATGTTATTTTAGGCTACACATAGCAACACTCAAATGGGGAGGTAGTGGTTAACTTTTCATGCTGAAGACCAGCTCCAATTGTCCACTGTTGATAGCATGAACAATGATGGTTAAAATCGTACAGTCAGGTGGTTCATTACATGGTGACCACTCAGTCACCTTT